TTTTTTCATGTTTATAGTACTTATTTCTATGTGTATAGTAATGATTTTAATACTTTGCCTGTTTAATTTATTTCTATTAATGTGATATTCTTTATATTAATACACTTTAAAAACAGGTACATTAAATACTAAATACGCAACTTAAAAAATTAAGTCATAATATCAAAATGCTGATTTAGGCTTAACTGCTGAAAATGTGCGGGCCGGTGGCGACGATTCTTTTCAGCGGGTCCGGTCCCGTTACTGTGCTTCGTTCTCCTGATGCGGGTCCTTAAGGGGTTAAACATGTGCTGTAAAGTTTGTGAATATCATATACTGCATTGAGATTTGATGTAGTGAGTTGATGTTAGACACGAATGCTTTTAAGAAGTGAAAGAAGTCTTTATCAACAGCTCAGTTAGTTTGAGCGGGTTTGTGTAATAGGCTACAAGAAGGTGGATTTTCCCAAACTGCAGAACTTGGCAGAAATGTATCTAATGTGCATGATTGCTGGCAGCAGTGGTCAAGGGAAGGTATTGGCTCAAGAAGACCTAGTTCCAGATGGCCCTGTAGCATTGCTGTCAGGGAAGCATGTTGTGTTCAGCATGTGGCCGTGGTGCATCGTTCTGTATCTGCAGCAGAAATTCAGCTGCATTTGGTATCACAATGACATAGCAAACTCTTACAAAATGATTACTTGAAGAACAGCGAAAAATGACTAAAAAAAAAAAAAAAAAAAAAAAAAAAAAAAAAAAAAAACATGTTTATAGCATAGTGTATCAATTTTATATTATAAAAATGATGCTGTTTATAATTACAATTTTCCGTTATATTGTTAGATGGCATGCTTATTCATATGATATTTTAATATGTCAGAATTATAAAACACTAGTTGCGCATTTATTCTCTTTTACAAAAGTGCTGATTATCCCATACTTTGTAATGTGATTTGACAATTGTATGCACAAATAATATGTGAATTTATATGTTGGTGTCTTTTTATTCATTTGCATAGCCGGAGAAAAATTTAATAGAATTTTGCAATTATCTATATTTTAGCTAATATTTTGCTCTGAAAATAAAGTAGCTTAGTTTTTCTCAAACTGATAATTTCATAAAGATTAATCAAAAACATAAGTGGCTACATAAATGAATAATCATAAAAATATTGTTTTAATAAACATATTTATCTGATAATAAATAATTGAGTTGGGAAACTAGAGAATCCAACCATGCCCTTGTTAGAACTAGAACCGCAGATATATTTGTTGGCTGAATATCCTAACCATTTACATCACAAGAATATGCATGGGGGAATTTGATAATTCTTTACATTTTTCCTACTTAAAGGGTGACTGGATAAAGCCATTAGCTTTATTAAAAAAATCTCACTCTCATTTTTGTTCAGGTGCTATCATTAAATTAAAATTTTTATCATATCCATAATGTGAGAAATCAGTGGCCTTATACCACAAATCTCCCATTTGCCAGCTGAATGGAATAACAACTCATAACATGTATAGAGAGATGCAATAATTCCCTGAAACTATTAATATAAAGATCATATGAACAATATGTCGTACAAAAAATGTCCTTTAAGTAACAAGTCAATCCCATATCAGAGTTTCTTAAACTGTGGGTCACGTCTCCAACTGGGGTCTTGGGACCTGTAGCAGGAAGTTGCCAAAAATTTTAGCAATTTTGATATTTCTTTAACTGATTATAATGATTTTATAATTAACGAATATTTTCACATAATATATCTGAAAATAGATAAGACAAAGAAAAACGAAAACGTTTCGATCCTTTTATTTTTTTACAATAGAAACGCTCATTTTACTTTAAAAATTAATGCCCTAACACTGCAATAGTATGTTGCATTACAAGTGAAGAAACTGACAGTTTCACTCACACATATGTTGGATTTACGCAATGCTTATGGGGGTCACCCAAAATTTTCGTAAATATTATGGGGTCCCTACACCAAAAAGTTTAAGAAATCCTGCCATATATTATCAACTTAAATTCATTGGACTTTTTACATCCTGTGCCGCTATAATTAAATCAAATATACCAGATTAATATAGCTTAACATCCTAATTGCTAATTTTATTTACTGTTTCATTAAGTAATACACAATTGTCATAATTTCAGGTATTTTGTGCTTTATGTTTTTTTTTTTTTTTTTCTCTTATGGATCAGATCACTAGCCTATAGCAAATGGATTTTGTCTGCCAGTCAGTCAGCCTACTGCAAGCAGAGCAATTTTTCATGTTATGTGAAAAGGCAGTCCTTTAAAAATGTTTGCAGTTTATTCTAAAATACAATCTATAAGAGTAAGTTCCAAATATTGCAATACTGTTGCAAACTTTTGTCACAATTACTGTAAGTGCTGCTGGTTGTGAAAAGAATTTCCTAAATAAAAATCATTTGAAAGGTATTTTAGAACAAAAATTGCTTATTTTGCATGTTACTTAAAAGTACTTAGAAGCTATAAACGTTTACGCATTTAAAAAATCCTTCTTTCTGGTTGCATTATAGAAGCTGGAATAATTAAGTAGACTTCTATGATGTCATTGAAGGTTTTGAGAACAGAAAAACAGCAGAATAATGCTAGAATTTTTAAGCTACTGGGATTTAAATTTTTCTTCAAAAATAAACATAAATGTATTTTTTTATATGTCATTTTTCTAGTTATTTGTTTGCATATCAAGAAAGGCAGTAAATTCAGGGACCGCTCTGAGCAGCAAAATAATTTCTAGCTACGCCACTGACCTCTCCACAGCAAAATGATGGGGAAACGTGCTGAAATAAATATTCCTAGAACTTATGCCGTATACTATAAACTACATCACTTGTCTGTACTGTGATTGTGTAAAGCTGCTGGAAGACTTATCCCCTCTCAATAAAGTCAAATGGACCTGACCGCATATCAGGCAAGGAACACAGATTGGTTTTCTTCATTAAAATTGAAGGACAACCTGGTCCCCCTTGTCAATAAAGACTTTATACCGGTTTGTTTGAGTCAGTATTGTACACGCTATAGTAGATGAGATCTAGTGATCATAGAATAGGCATCCTATACAGCACAATTGGGCTTGCATTCAAACACAACTGTGCTTGCATTAAAAAATCTTCTGGTTATGCTGGGTTTTAATGTACCAGCATTTCGCATTTGAAATTGCTTGCATTAACCTGTGATCTTGAAAATTTAATCAGTTAAGGGGTGTTGGAACCCCCAAATCTTCAAAAGATTATGATATCAGATTTTTACATTTTCAAATTCTCTACACTTTCTAAAAATACCATTCTTTAATCTCTACGAAAAGGAGAACTGGTAAAAATGTAGTTTTAATTTGTCATCGACTGATCAATAAGGATTTTTATATAAAAATGCGTTTTTCTCCAAATGTGATTTTTTTATACTCGATGTACCTTTTCTCAGGACACAGGGTATCTAAATTTTTATGGCTATTTATTAGGTTTCCTAATATTCTGAAATGACTTTTTGTGATAAACTTAGAAGAAAATTTAAAAAAAAAAATTTGTGTGTGAGAAAGTGCTAAATTTTACTAGCCTAACAAAATATTCTGTAAATTACTCTAAATTCAAAATGTTTCAAGCTCATTCAGTATGATCAGATAGGCATACTTTAATTACACAAAAAATTTCAAGCGTGTATCTGCAGCAGACTTTGAGAAAAGTTACATTGAAAATAGCCAATTTAACATTGTCGGTATAGGGCTTGCTGAGACCCCTTAAATATGTTACCTAGACAAATGTATTATGAAATTTCATTACTCTACATTAAGTTTCACTTGGTATTGAGATTGTATATATATATATACTACATATATTTACAGAGTGCCTAAAAGATGTAAAATGACGTTTAAAAATTAAAAAATGTCTAAAGGACGTTTAGGGAGGTAGAGCACATCATAAGGATTGAGAATTGCATGGCAATCCATGTCTGGAAATGTAGATGTAAGTAGTAGCAGAGGTTGAAGATCAGGAAGGATACAACAGAGTGATTGCGATTAATTTGAAACACTTATTGGGAAACACGATTGAATACACTGGGAGTTTCTTTGATTGTAGCAGCAGTGTAGACAAGTTATAGCATGATATCCAATTCAGATTTCTCAGGATCATGATACATGTTAGCTTTGAGAGTCCTAACAGGAGAAATCAAGGCTTGATAAATCAGGTGAGCATGGGGGCCAGGGAACCAGTCTACCATGCCAAATGCATTCAAACAGAAATGACCTTCTTCAGATGCCTACGAACATCCAGTCCAAAATGAGCAGGCACCCCATCATGTTGGAACCATATGTAGTGCCTTACATTTGCTGTAATATCATCAAATAAACTGAGAACCTGCTCCAGAAAGATCTGATAATTCATGGCAGTCACGTGGGATGGTGAAAGGTACAGTTCGACTAAGCAGTCGCTGACCAAACCTGCCCTCACATTTACTGTGAAATAGCGTTGTGCTGTGTGGTCCTTCACACTGTGAGGATTCTCTTGAGTCTTCAAATGTGCATTGTGCTGATTGAATATGCTATCCCTATTGAATGTGACCTCATTAGTAAACAACACATAAGCTAGAAAATTCACATCTTAGACACTTTGTTGTAGATACCACTGTGTGAAACGCATGCATGCAGGTTGGCCATTGGTGAGCAGTAACTAAACCCTTTGGAGATAAAAGGTCCATTAGGACTTTGGTGTTCAAAAATGCTGTACATGCAATAAGACACTCTTAAGGCAATGGTCATATGCTGGCACTGGGATTAGCCTCCATGGCATCCAACACTTTTTCTTTTGTAATGACTAATTGTGACAATCATGGATTGTCCTCATTAGTCCTGCTACTTTCTAATGGCTTGTACTCGCACAGATTTCGATGCACATGTGCAGACACATTGTGGTGTGGTTGATGTCTGTCTGGGAAGCATTCTAGATAAATTTGTTCAGCGAATGTTCCATTGCCTCAGCTATTCCATACACTAAGTGTATATCTGTAAGCTATTTGGTCATAAACCATTGCATACTCTTCATATGCTGACTGCTACTTAAAATGAGGAAATCCTCACTTTGCCTTGCAGCATTCTCATGCAGAGCACCACCTAGTGGTGTATGATGACAGATTTCGTCATAGGTTACTATGCAATTCTCAATCCTTATGATATGCACTACTTCCCTTAGAAGTTTGTCACTACATTTTTGTGAGTGAGTGAGAGTAAGATTAATGGACCCCAAATCAAAAATGATTATAATGCGTCAAACACGAGGTAGATGAAATAATGACACTGCATTTTTGAAACACCCTGTACATATATATACAGGGTGTACTGTAAATGTTGCAAAACTTCTAGGCGAGGTAAGGCACATCATAAGGAGTAAGAATTGCATAGGAACATATACCAGGAAATGTCAGGGGTAAGTGATAGCAAAGGTAGAAGATGGGAAAAGATTCAAGAGTGATTAATTTGAAACATTTATTGGACATGAATACAAATGGCTTGACAGCTTGAATGTTACAACAGATGCTCGAAGTTTGCGCCATCAGATGCCAAATATGCCTGACACCAATGGACCATTTGAATGCTGCAAATTAGTTGATCTTTCTGGAGCAGGTTTTTCCCAATTTGCTTGATGATGTTTCACCAAATGTGAGGTGCAACATGTGATTCTAACATAATGGGGGCCCCTGCTAATTTTGGACTGGATGTTCGTAGCCATTTGAACAGATTATTCCAGCATCAATGGATTGAGTATGGTGGACTAGTTCCTTGGCCCCCATGCTCACCGGATTTATCAAGCCTTGATTTCTTTTTGTGGGAAGCCATCAAAAGTGTCGTGTATCATGATCCCATTGTGTCTGAAATGGATGTCGTGGCAAGACTCGCCTGCACAGCTGCTACAATCAAAGAAACTCCCGGTCTGTTTGAACACGTCCGGAAATAAATGGTCCATCGGTGTCAGATATGTTTGGCAATTCTGTTGTAACATTCAAGCTGTAGTGCTCCATTTGTATTTATGACAATAAATGTTTAAAATTAATCACTCTTGTTTCTTTTCCCATCTTCTACCTCTGCTACTACTTACCCCTAACATTTCTGGGTATGTGTTTCTATGCAATTCTTAATCCTTATGATGTGTATTCATATATACTATATATATATATATATATATGAATGATATATATGAATCCTTTCTTATTCATATATAAGGATATATATATATCCTTAACCCTTTCGTATTCATATATATATATATATGAATGCGAAATATATGTATATATATTTTGTTATATATATATGAAATAATAAGAGTACAAGGAAAAGCCGGAGCAGTGTCGATGCGTGCTTAGATCCACACTGAAGAAGAATTTTGATTGCACAGTGTGCCAATAATGTTAACTTGGCACTCAAGGCAGTTTTAATTTCAATTTTATTTACAATTGATATTTGTGGCCACAATCACTTGGCACTCTAGTCGTGCCTTTACACAGAAGATTTACATTTTTGATATTGTTGAGATAGAAAGCAAACCAGCAAAATTACATCTCATGATTAATTTGAATGACACAGTTTAGACTAAAGCACTATTTTTAAGACAGATAGATGAAGTTCCCAAATGAAATAGAAAATAAAAAAGGTTATAGTGAATTAAAGTAGAAGAGAAACACGCTAATGTGACAATCAAAATCGTAAAAACAACCTTGTATTTAGCGTAAATATATTGAAATACTCAATCGATGAGAGCAGCTAAAGGTCCCTCCTCATCAGGAGAAAGAAATACCTAGAAAGAAATAAAGGGGAAGGAGTCTCAGAAACACGTGGTCCTTATCAGCACTGTACGTGGTTATAACTGGATTTTTAATCAGAGTTTCACTGGCCGCCTACTTTTACTGAGCCAGGCTATCTGATCAAGCATAAAGGACAAGAAAAATTAGTGAAGTGAATTAAATTTAGAAGTGTGCTTTCATATTTTTATCTTACGCATTCCCTCCTTTCAAAAAGAAAAAGGCGAAGCAATAGAGAAGCCTTTTTGAGAGAAAAAGCATTAGAGTAGCAAAACATAAGATATGTAATTTTGAAACATACAAAATATAATATTAGCTTTCGAACAATAAAATTATAATATGTAAAATTGGCACAAATTTTCTTTCAGTGTGGTAATACAGCAGAAAGGACATAAAAAATTTAAAAACTGAATTGTAAAACTTCAAAAATTAAGAAATGTGGAGAAAAAAATTGGAAAATGGTACGGTATGAACTGCATAATTAAAAAATGCAATTAGGTACCTAATCCCTCACAGATATTTATCAAAGCATAGTAAACAATATTAGTAATAATAATAATAACAATGAAGGAAAAAACATTCAACTTTATGTGTATTTTTTTAATCTGAATCTAAATTTTTGTACCTTCAGAAAATTTCTCTTGGCTACGCTTTACAATTTATGTTAAGTTGTCAGACTGACATTTATTTCAAATAATTCTAATACTATATTGAACTGCAACTTAATATGAATGCCTAACTTAAACTAAAAATAAGTAAATTTTAGGAAAACTTCTCAAATTTTTGGAGATATCTTTCAAAGTGGGACAAATCATGTGAATAAATAATGATAACACTCTTTCTTTTTTCTATTAAATTTTTCTTTAACATGTGCAGAAAAAAAATTACATATAGCTGTATTTCTTCATTTCTTACTGCAGCTTGATCCTTGATGGCATTTTGATTCTAATAAAGTTTGCAGCCTTAGAGACAAATTACTAAAAACTATCATCATGCTTATCAGTCAATTGGGTTTTTTTTTTCACACTTATTAATTTTTAAATTTCAAGAAACACTGTTTACGTATACCTGTGCTCCCAAAGAAAGCTATTCTTCTTATTACAAAACATTAATAACTAAGATATCTTTTGACAAATACAAATAAATGTTAATCAAATTTATATTTTCAAATCCTTGAATAAGATTTATGTCACATTGGCAAATTAATTAGACCCATTTGTAGACTTTCTAGTGTGTTATTTACATTTGTTTTAATGATAATAAAAATAATGTAAAATTTGATTGCAAATCATTAAATCTTTCTTCAAATTCCTGTGACAATACTGCTATATTTCTTGCGTATTTTTCAGATTTTTCATTTGAGATAATAGGGCATGACTTAAGGTGTAAGAAACGTATGAAATATTTTGATCTAAGCTGCATTTCCCATAACTGCAATTTAATTTTAAAGGATTTAGTACAAGCGGTAGGATACGAACTGCACAAAATTTAATTGAAACCCCCCTTCTTATCTAATCCACGAACTGCGCAATGTTTTTCTGTCCCCTCTTTCTAAGAACTTGAATTCCCAAGAAGATGGGTGCTACAAAAAATCATTTATCGCCATTAATGAGACATTTTATTGAGGCTACAAGCCTCTATTTTCGTTTATCAGATATTATAAAAATTGTGCATACAAAACAAATATTAATTTAAAATCTGGCGTGTGCCAAAGTAAAAATTAATTTCTTTTACACTCTTTTACACTTTTTAAAGTTTTATGATGCTTAAAAGAATAATGAGCCAGATCTTTTTTATTCTCTATAAGAATAAAAAAACTTTCCAAGTTGTAGATTTTAGCTGCTGATATATATATCAGTTTTGAATAATAAATAAAAGTAATAGATTAATTACATACATAAAACTGATACATAATCAACCTATCAAATATCAGATTTGTAGCGCACCTTAAATATTAACAAATCTTCTTAGATGGCAGAATGGTTTTTAACTTTCAAATTTACCATTTTAGATAAACGGTTCTAATTTAATTAAAAAAACTCTCTTTATTAAATCAAAAATTGGATTTCTTAAGTGGTTCTAAATTCACACCAGTATTATCGCAATATATGCCTTATTAAGCTTTCCACTTTTAATCACTGAAGTTATTTTAAAATTATTTAACTTTCTTACAAATTTCATATTTTAATATTAGAAATGTTTAAATATTTATTCTGTTTTCCAGTTAATCCACCTTATGTACTTTGGCATACATTTAATTTCTAATATACATTGAATTTATAAATTGATAATTATGAGCATCTGCAGAATTTTCATAATTAACAGAAAAAATTCGAACTCCCTTATATGCATATCTTGGGATTTTCAGTTCCCTTTTAATCCATTCCTTTTTCACATATTGTTGTATTGTATTCAAGTTTTCATGTATGTAGAATTTATATTTAAATGATAATTTTTATAAATTCTTGCATCATAATTCTAGTTAACAGAAGATGATTCTAACACTTTGGTAAAGATTAATCTTCAGCATGCAACTTATTTTCCAATCTAGTTTCAGGCTGAATTATTTGTAAAATTAATTATTCGAAATTATTTGTAAACAAAGATGGTCACTAAATCACGCTAATAAAAATTCGAACTGTTGTAATTTCTAAAGCATGTGATTTATAATATAATTTATTTACCAACTTTTTCGACAGTATTGAAATTAACAGCAGATACTGATAATGCTATACATTTTGATTACAATGATTTAGATTGTCATTGTCTTCTTTCTTGATGCTTTTTCGTTGATTTAGATTGTCATTGTCTTCTTCGTTGATGCTTTTATGATTCCTAATATTTCATAATGGCATACAGAAAAGTTTAACTCATTCACCAAACATGTAAACCTATAATTCTGCTCACTTTTGATCGTACGTGTGCTGTATCTTCTATTTTCCTTACTATATTGTTCAACCTAATTTCAAAAGGCCTTACGATCAAGCAGAAAAGTCACTAAACATTGGTTGTTCGATCCGAGTTTCTAATCTCAGACATCCCCCATATTCTTTTTTTGTACATATTTACCGTGGAAAAATGCATTGTAAAATTTTCAGTTCACGAAGTAAAAAATCATTTTTTAAATTTATTCTTAAAAAATATTGCAAAAATTTTCACCTTAGCATATCATCTCTTTACAAATCCCTTTAATAAGAAGAAATAGGCAAAGAAATTAACTTGGTTTCTGTGATTGATACTTCGATGCAAATTATATGTAACTTTTTCCAAAAGCATAGAGTTTATATGGATATCAATAAATTATGAATTATTTCTCCATCTAATTTTCTTAACATGTTTAGTCCAGAATTTTCCTTTCACAGTGTAGTGTTTAACTTCATGAGTTTACTATAATCATTCAATTTCCCTTGCTATAGCAACTATGCATACCTTCTGACAAGGAGTTATATTTTTTACCACTGTATTTTAATTCCTGTTGACTATCAGTATATTATTCACTTGTTTCACAAGTGCAGATATTTATTTTCTACGCAAAATAGCAATAAAACTTCAGTTATGCGGTGCTCCTGATCGATTGCTTGTTTCAGATAGAATGAAATTAAGCTTAATGTTACTGTTAATTAATTTGTTATTAATTTAATTGTACATTTTTAATTAATTATATGTTCAGATATTTCCCAAGTATATTACACAAACGTTTGCATCCCAATTTTTAATTATAGTTAAAAAAAATAAGCTTTTATTTATTAAGATGCCTGATTGATTATATTAATTTGCAATACTGTTTAATTCTTTTCTTCTAGATGAATTTTGGAAAAATCTTCTTAGCATAATAATTTAAATTTATTTAAAATTTATATGTCAGTGTTCCAAATGCACAGTAATGTTATAATAGATTTCATGCTAAGTTTTTTTTTTTTTAAATTTAACTGTTAATTTCTGCAAACATTTACATGATTACTTTAATTAACAAAAAATATTTTTAACACACTTCGATACGGAGTAATCTTTTGCACGCCAGTGAACTATATTAAATTTTCCACTCTAGTTTAGACATCATAACTGTTATTGATGTAATTTATAAAACATATAATTGGTATGCTTTATAAATATTTAATTTGTGATATTATTATAGTACTCTTTGCTCTAATATTGTAATTACTGAAAGATGTTTGTAATACTAATACATACCGTCTTTTTCTGAAAATAATACATCCTCCGAAAATAAGCCCTATCGTGATTTTCGGAACTTTTTGTAAAATAAGACATCCCCCAAAAATAATACCTAGTTAAAATAATGTGACAAAAAGAATTCGTTAAAAAATGCTGTTGATTTATTAAGTAATAATATGTTTAGCTTTCCTAATACTCGTATTTCAGAGAAATATTTGAAACAAAATATTCCGAGAAATTAATTGTTTACCTCTACAGTTCATTTCAAATTAATTCTTGGAATTTATCTTAACCAGTTCACCGTTTTCGAGAGAGATACGTTCACAGGAAAGGCATCGTCATCCGTTAACGTCGGCAGACTCTCGTCGGGGTGAAATTTGGGCTGAACCGTAACCCCCGAGACACATATGACGCAGCGACGATAGCTATATCGCAAGACATGAGAGATTCGGACCAATGATTCAACAGGAAATGGATTTGGAAGAAAATCAGAATATAATTTGGAATTTTATTTATGACGATGTTCCAGAAGATGACATGACTGTAATTGAATAAATTTAAATTTCTGTATTCTGTGTAAAATAAATATTAAATAAAAAATATATAAATAAACTTTTATTTTTGCCCTACCCCGAAAATTAGCCCTAGCACGTATTTTGGACGTAAAAAGAAAGTAAGACAGTGTCTTATTTTCGGAAAAAGATGGTATGTTTACTAATACCTTTTATTTTCTTTGTTAGCTCTCACATTTATTACTGTTGTTCAAGTAATTAGCCTGCTTGTTAGATATTTTTTACTTGTTCTTGTGATTGTGCTTGTGATATGTAATTCTATTTCTTTATTTTTATTTTCTTCTTGGCTACAATTGGCTTTGAAAAGTAAAATTGTAACCCTGTAGGCAATGGGGAGAAGAAATTTTGATTCATGCAGTTGGAATATACCCATACAAGCATACATGTCAATCATAAGTTTATTCTTTCCTTGCAGTTCTTTTACTTAAATACAAATAAGGTTTAATCTTTTAGTTATTCTTTCAAGAACCTTATCTATCCACAAACTTTTGGCACCATAATTAATTACAACAAGTATGTAACTGAAATGTATTTGCAGGCTGCGTGAAATTGCTTTGGGCTGCCAGCTTTAGACTATTGTGTTAGTGTGATATTACTACATGCTGCCCTGATGAAATGGGCATATTGTTTAATTTTTTAGTAATGCATTTTTTAAATTTGTATTATGAGTACCAATCAGTTTATCCAGCAAAAATGTAAATATGATTTTCGCTTTGAATAAAAATGCTAAATTGTTTTATATTTTTAGGGTTTTAAAAATCAAAATGTTACAAAGAAATTTAAGAATAATAATGTTGAAAGTTATGGAATGCAAGAAATTATATCAAGTGATGAAGAACTTAGGTTTGTATTACTTTCTTTTTTTAATTGTCTTTATTCATTAAACATACTTTATTATTATATATCTGTAAATTAATTTTAATTATTATGTATCTGTAAACATTTTACCCATATTCTCTAATTTTATATAGTTTTAGTATTCAGGGAAAAGGTATGTTAAATTTATATAAAAAGCACTCTAATGTGGAGATTAAAATAATATAATTATAAATAGCATGTATAATTATACTGTATGAAATAATTATAGTAATGCAAAAAAGCTGGAGAAAACAGCTGGTTAATATACTTTTATTAAGAAAAGGAAACCATATTTCATTAGTGATTGAGCCAAAGAATGGCAAGAAAATATTCATGATTATAAGATTCTTGAAAAAGAAATGTTCAAACAATGGTCATTTTTGCATACTTTTGTTTGATTATTTTTAAGGCATCTTTCATGATTTATTTAGTTTAATATTATATATGAAAGAGAAAAATACATGTTGATATATATTACACAAGTTCTATATGGTAGTAAATGCATTCAGTAAATATTTTTATAAATATGTACTATTGTAGTTAGAATTTATTTAAAATGCTGACAATTTATTACATTCCCCCATTTATAATTATTATATGGTTATTTGTATTAATTAGTTCACATAAAATGTTCCTTTTAGCTGGATGTCATTGGAATGAATTTTATTGTATTTTATGAAAATATTTATTATAGTGGAGACAAAGCTCATTCTGATAGTTTTTCAAGTGAGGAAGAAACAGAGCAAGAAAAAAAATTAAGGCTAACTAAAAAGTATTTAGAACAGATTGAAAATGAAGGTATATTTATTTGCTCTCTTCATAGAACAATGAATTGTCTATTAGCAGCCTAGTGTTAAATTGCTATTAATTACACTGAGATTTGTTTTTGTTTTCAATTACGGATGGTATAATAAATTTATGTAATTCATGACTTTGTGAAATTTTTGTTTGCAATTTTAATATTTTTCCTGTTCTAATATTTTATAGGGGGGGGAAGGCTTTCATTAATAGGTTATTTTCGTTTTAAAGTATGTATGATTAAAATGGCTTATAGATTCATTTGTAGTTTTTTGACCTAAATCTTGAAACTGATGTAAATCAAATAAGTAATTCCTTTTCAGCATTCTTTCAGTTTTATTAAAATTAAAGGAAAAATTAAATTCAGAGGAATAATTAACTAACTGGCTTTGAAATATTATATTTAAAAGATTGTATGTCATCTTAAGCACTTTTAAGACTTTGTGCTGATGAACTTAAAAATATTTCATTGCCAGCATTTGTGTGAGCAAATTTATACTTAAGAGAGATTTTTTTAAAATATATTTTTATGATACTTACTGTTATATGAGTCAATATTTCTGTGATATTATACCATAAATAGTAATATATATGTTACGGTGAAACACCGAAATCTGAAGAATGTCGACTTTAACCGGCGAATGTCAACATTCACATAGTCACTTGGTGTATGTCCAAAATACTTTGCAAAAGCAGTAGAAGTCCAGAAATCCACAAAGCTTGAGACCAGAGGTTGTGCAGATTTTAGGATTTTGAAGATTTCAGGACAGAAAAGATAAATCATAATATTCAGACTAAAAGTGCAAAATAAATAAGGCATATTACATACATTTAATTAAATTATTATATACATTATTGCAATAACTTATTATATGCATTAAATTATTATTACATATACAGTCAAAAGTTGTTAATTCGGACACCCATAATCTGGAATTATCTATAATCCGGACCTTAAAGCTACAAACTTTCTGCACATGCGTCGCGTTCACGCATGCGCACAGGCGTTTAAGAGTGCGCGTAAGACCTTTATGGCTGCGAATATGTTTGTGAGCATGCGCGTTTAATGTGTAACAGAGGTATAAGCTAAGCTAAAATTATCTAATTCAGTTAATGTTGCAGATTGCGTTGTTCCTTAATCTTCGAATTGGATCCGGCTTATTATTTTTTGCAGACTGTTAGAGCAATTTCATAAAAGTAAGCTTGAACTTTCGATTATGTCAAATAGAATTTCTGATATATATTTACTAATATGTAATTTGTATCTACAAAGCGAAAGTATGTTTTGAAATCCGAAATCTGTTTATCAATTTCACTCTGCGGATTGGAAGTTGATCTGTCAGCACTATCCTTATCTTCAGGGCAGATGTTTTTATTTTATTTGGCTTATAATTCCTTACTAAGTGTAGTATTTCATCTTGATGTACTCCGTCTTTGATATGATTTAAATCAAGTTCCTCGTCATTATAATTTGCTTCTGATAGTGAAGAAAGTGACCCAGAGGTTATTGAAAACGAAAACATTTCGATTGACAAATTAGTCGGTATTCTCGACACAGCAATTATAGGACTTGTACAGCGGAACATTGTAACTAAACAAGAAATTATGTCTGTTTAATAGAATTAAAGAGAAAGTATTATCACATGAAACGAAGCAACTTACATTGAAAGAAATATTTAATAAAGTAAACAAATAAATATTAAGCTTTTTCTTTTTGTAAATTTTGATACCCTTTAGATCATAATTGTTCTTTATTTCATAAATTATGGTTTCATATTTTTAATTTTGTAATTTCTGCATGCCATCTTACCAGATTTAAACTGATGATCTATAATCTGGAAAAATCGATAATCCGGAATCACCGAAGTCCCGACGAGTCCGGATTAATGACTTTTGACTCTATAAATTGATTATATTATTCATTTTATTATATATACACAGCATCAAGGTTTGCCGATTTCGCCTTGTGCAAATATTTCCGGTTTCGGATTCTGGTGTTAGAATCACTGTTGCTGTAAAATTTTAACAGCTTTTCTTTATTTTTCCATATATCATGCACAATCGTATTGCAGTTCTGCTATAAAATGTACCTGTCTCCATCTTTTGCAGACTTTGCACTTTTTGCATTACCGTCAATGCAATGTGTTTACGTTTTTCAACGTTGCAAGCAGTAAAATCGTGAGCATGTTTTTTATCTGTCATTGTATTAAAAGAGGCTGAAATTTAAAATATTTTTAATTTATCCACAAAATATTTGGATTAAAAAAAAGGCAGCACTGAATAATCTTGTGAAATAACAAAGCTCAGAAAATACAACAATGTGAATCGTGAACTTGAAAGAAGAGTTGAGTGAATCGTCTGGTTTTTTACCTTGATGCAGGTTAGAGGGGAAAAAACTTTTATGATGATATCAATAATTTGGTATTACCGTTATGACTCATTATTATTCGGTAATTATGTCGTCATTATTCGGTAAGTATTTTTTCTTCGATATTTCGTACTCAATGTTGCGGTTTCCGGAACCTATAAACTGAATGTTTATATTTTGAGAGGCAATGCAGATTTCAGGAGTGGGTGGATTTTCGGTATTTGACTGTACTCTTATTTCCAACTTACACCGGTAAATGTCGACATTCACCATGTACTAATCGTGAATCATTGGATGTCTCCATCTTTTGACGAATTTCCACTTTTTGCATTACCATCAATGCAACGTGTTTACGTTTTTCAACGTTGCAAGCAGTAAAATCATGAGTGCATTTCTTATCTGTCATTGTATTAAAAAAGGCTGAAATTTAAAATATTCATTTCATCAAATTATGATAGATCAATACAAAATGTGTAATTACTATCGATAAATAGCTAGATAGGGGATATGTATGTATTGCTGATACATGTGTATCTTTATCTAGCCATTGCTAATTAATATATCTGTATCTCCTACTTGATTTAAAAATTTTATGTGGCTTTGAATAGGGGAGGGGGAGAAAAACCTCTTTTATTTTTATGATTGTACAGTATCTCATCTGACTTACATAACAGGTAATGTAAGTTCAGAGTTGTGTAAGTGTGCAAAAGTCATAACATTTAAACAGAAACTGTTGAGCTGACACAATAAATTATGGCAAGTGGAGACATATGTGCGACTGGCAGAGCAGTTACTGGTTGGTGGAAGTGGAAAAAATTGAGGTAACGAGTTTCTTTTTGGAAACAATGAAGACTTTACAAATAATGATTTGATTTAGTAGCGGTCTTTCTGAAATTCTGAAGAAAATATTAAGCCGATTGAACTGCCAGATCTAGATGTTAAAAAATTTATATCAAAGGGACTAGTTGAGGCTTTTGATCTATAGACATAGGGGTAACAAATTTAGAATTGATAGTTCCGAACACTGATTGGTTCAAGAATGTTAGCAGTTGTATCCATTCTGATATGTCTAGCTATAAGGCCATCTGTGATCACACAATGTTGTGTAGATAATACAGTCAATACATGTTGTGTAGATAATACAGTAGATAATACAGTCAAAAGTCGTTAATCCGGACTCGTCGGGACTTCGGCGATTCCGGATTATCGATTTTTCCGGATTATAGATCATCAGTTTAAATCTCGTAAGATGGCATGCACAAATTCTAAAATTAAAAATATGAAACCGTATTTTAGGAAATAAAGAACAATTATGATCTAAAGGGTATCAAAATTTACAAAAAAAAAGAAGCTTAATATTTATTTGTTTACTTTATTAAACATTTCTTTCAATGTAAGTTGTTTCGTTTTATGTGATAATACTTTCTCTTTAATTCTATAAACAGACATAATTTCTTGTTCAGTTAATAAACTCCGCTGTTCAAATCCCGTAATTGCTGTGCCGAGAATACCGACTAACTTGTCAATCGAAATTTTTTCGTTTTCACTAACCTATCTGTCACCTTCTTCACGTCTTTATCCATTTTTTGCAGCAATTCCACTTTTTGTTTGACGGACATCGAGACATATTCTCATTTTGTAGATCCTTTGGGAGCTCCAGAATCGGAAATTGACATAATCGAAAGTTCAAGTTTACTTTTATAAAATTGCTCTTACAGTCTGCAAAAAATAATAAGCTGCATCCAATTCGAAGATTAAGGAATAACGCAAGCATCAACATTAACTGAAATAGATAATTGTATAATTTTAGCTTATACCGTCCGTTATACATTAAACGTGCACGCGAAAATGTATTCTGCAATGCGTGTGCGCGTAAAGGTCTTATGCACACGCGTAAACGCCTATGCACATGCACAGAAAGTTTTTAGCTTTGAGGTCCGGATTATAGATCATTCCAGATTATGGGTGTCTGAATGAACGACTTTTGACAGTATTATGAGATGATGCTTACTACAAAGACAAGATGACCATTTGACTGGTAGAAGTTGCTAGAGAAGTACATTTGTCTTTGCAATCATTGATCTCATGTACCATCTCTTCCACTACAAAGCTGAATTAGTTGTCACAAATATATATATATATATATACATATGAAATACTAAAAGCACAAGGAAAAGCAGGAGCAGTGTCGATGCGTGCTTAGATCCATATTGAAGAAGAATTTTGATTGCGTAGTATCTAAAGAACTTGGCAGTCGAGGCAGATTTAATTCCATTTTTATTTGCAATTGATAATTTGTGGCTACAATCACTTGGCGCTCTAGTCGTGCCTTTCCACAGAAGATTTATATTTTTTATATTGTTGAGATAGAAAGCAAGCCAGCAAAATTACATCTTAGCACAGTAGAGAGCAAAACTGAAGTGTGCCATTATGCAAGCTGAAAGCATGTGGAGAGAAAAGTTTTGTTTTGCAATTTGGTGATTGGTCAAGAGGCACCTGCATTAAGGGTTACGTATGATCACATGATTAATTTGAATGATGCAGTTTAGACTTAAGCGCTATTTTTAGGACAGATAGATGAAGTTCCCAAATGAAGTAAAAAATAAAAGACGTTATAGTGAATGAAATTTAG